TTGAAATCTAATTTCACTTAAATATTATAATAAAATTCAACGCAAACATTTATATATTTTCATAAATAATAAAAATTTCACAGGAATTCAATTATTTACAATTCCTCAAAAAAAGTTATTATTCTTAAAAATTTTATTAAAATTTATCAAATAAATTTAATTATTTCAATAACCTTTGCTACAATTTATTTATTAGAATTTAAGTATTATTTTCAATAAATTTTTAATTAAAATTCTTTAAAGAATAACATTATTTTAAAAAATTTTAATGAAATTCTTTGCGTTACAATTCAATTTTTTTCAAAATAATTTTAATAAAATTCTTCACAGAAATCCAATTATGTTAAATCCAATTATAACAAAAATTCTCGTCAAAATTTCAAACATTTTTATAAATAATAAAATTTTTCTCCGAAATTCAATTATTTTCATAACTTTTAATAAAATTATTGTCAGAATTTTAATTATTTTTAATACAATTTTCATCAAATTTCTCGAAAAATGCAATTATTCTTCAAAATTTTATTAAAATTTGTCAAGAGAATTCAATTATTTAAAAATACGTTGATAAAATTGTTTATGAAAATTCAATTTTAAGAAACATTCAATTGTTTAATAAAATATTTGTTTTTATAGTTAAATAATTGAATTCTCGTAGAATTTTCTAATAAATGTTGATTTAAAAATGAATTTCCAATTAAAATCTTTGAAAATTTGAACTTTTCATACTTTTAATTAAGAATTCTATAGAATTAATTTTTTTTAATAAGTTTAATGGAATTTTTTTTATTATTTGAAGTTTTTAAATTTTAATATATGGGTGATTTGCACGTAACTGTAATATTTGTCGGCGTCACAAAAAACACATTCAAAATAAAAAATTTTTGCTTGGGTATGGATACATTTCACAGATATATAAAACCTATTCGCAACCTCAAATATGTACAAATAGATATTATAATTTTTGATAAATTGCGGAATTCCCTCCAAAATTTCAGCTCCGTGGCGTGTCCGTTTTTTAAAATTTTAAGTTAAAATTCAGAAATTTTATTGAAAACGCCGAAACTGGAAACGAGAATTTTTGTAATATGAATTATGTATATAGGTGAACAATTTGTACATAATTATAATGCATCTTCTAATACTTCTTATAAAATGTAAAATAGTTTTGTCCACAAATTTTTTCAATTTTGTAATAAGATTTTTTTTCCTTCCTGCTGTCATAGCGAACTTGTTTGATCTCACAGCGAACTTGTTCGCTGTCCCTATTTCAACGAACAAGGTTTGCTGTGGCAGCAAAATGTTCGCTGCCACAGCAAACCCTTTCTATGCGTGTTTATAGCACATTTTAATGTTATCTGAGAATTACAATCTAAAATAAGATCCATTAGCAACAAATATCAGTAAAAAAAAGGTTCAAAAATTGGAAGTTCTACACTCAAAAACAATTTTTTTTGTAAAAATGTGAAGGTCACAAAAAAAGTGATCAGTACCGTGGTATTACTATTCTTTTAATCTAAACACTCTCTGTTGTAATTATTACGATTTTTTTGAAGATTACAATAAAAACAAATTATCTGCCCAAAGAAAAGAATTATTTTGCAGAATTGTCGGAGTTAGGTTAGTTTAAATGTCAAATTTCAGCTCCGTGGTGTCACATAAAATATCAGCTCCGTGGCGCCTGTGGCGTACAGTGTGAAGGTGCAAATTCATGGATCAACAGTTGCTACAATAACACATATTATAGAAGAGGACAGACATAGTTGTGTCCTTTTATATTTCAGTGCTTCGGCAACCGTTGACTTATTAAAAAACACCTTAATATTCGAAAAAACACGCCTTTACTTTTGGTGCTTAATTTAAAATGTCTTTATGTCAACCATGTAGAAGCACAGTATTACTGTTGATCGTAACGCTTTCATTTGTGAATACTTTTCTGAAATTAGTTTTATGCGCTAATTTCATAATGTTATGAAAATAAAATTCTCTGGTTATGTCAAGCTGATAGTAAATAGTAAATATTTTTGCTGGGGCTATTTTGTGCATCAAAATGCTTTTTTTAACTCAGTTATTTATTCAAATTCAGAATTAAAAGAAAATCAACTTTTGCTTATGTTATACTTCCTTCTGAAGGTTTCCTATGAGTTAGTCAATGAAATAAATTTTTTTGTCGGAGTTGTAGTCATTAAAAGTTGTGCACAAAATAGACCCCGGTATGGGGCTACTTTGTGCATTGATCTTTCTGTTTTTATAATGTTACGTAAACATTTTTTTGATCCTTTCTTATTCATTAAATCTTTTGTGTAGATATTTCAGAGTAAATTAAAAAAGAATAAGATATTAAACAAAAAATTTTGTAAATATTATACAACAAAATGTAAAATAAAACATTAAGATTTTGCTAAAATCATGATTTATTAAAAATTAACAACCTTTCTTCAAATTTTATATTACTCAGAAAATAAATAACACTTTTTCTTTTTAAATATACATTTTACAATAATACATTATAATAATTATAATACTATCATTTAAACACATGTAAATAACTTTGAATCTCATCATTTCAATAGGAGCTTTTTTAAACGTTTTGAATATGATATTTTTCAAAAACTTGAAATTAATATTTTAAGGTTAAATGAATAACAATTTAATATCTAATACACTTTTCAAGTTATTAGAGAAACGAGAAACTCCGTGGCAACCAATTTTCGAAAATTTGTTATAATTTTTATATAATTATAGCTGTAGTAAAACCGTTCAAATTACAACTATATTATGCCCTAATGATGAGTAGGCCTGTGCGGTTAACCGGTTAACTGGTTATAAAACCGGTTATTGTCATAACCGGTTAACCGGTTATAAAATTTTTGAGCAAACGGTTAACCTTTTTTCGGTTATTTTGAAATAACCGGTTATTTAGGAATAACCGGTTATTTTGGAATAACCGATTGTTTATTCATTTTCTATTTTCAAAAAACATAAAATTAGTGTGTGCAATTAAACTCTATGTGCTTAAGGGGACCGTACACCACTTTTGCGTGTTTTTTCAACATTTATTTTTTCATAGTAAAATGTATCGAAACACTGGGCTCTTTTCACACATATTAACATACATATTGAGGATTAAGAAAAAAATATTTTTTTATTTATTCTGCCCTTCATGGCGACAAAATGGCGGCTGAAGTGATTGTCCGGAAAAAACTGGTTGACACGATATCTCTGCTTCAAAATGTCGAAAACAAAAAATCAAAAGAATTTCTTAAAATATATGTCAGTAAACCAAAAAAGAGTGAATTTGAATAAAAAATGAGAAAATGGCGGCGGTTTAAATTTTTTTTACCCCTTTTCCACCCCTAAAACGGTAAAAAAATGGGGTTAAAAAGGATGTAGAATGTTGGTTGTGGTTCAGGCCATAGCCACTGATATATATTTTAAGAAATTCTTTTGATTTTTTGTTTTCGACATTTTGAAGCAGAGATAACGTGTCAACCAGTTTTTTCCGGACAATCACTTCAGCCGCCATTTTGTCGCCATGAAGATCAGAATAAATAAAAAAATATTTTTTTCTTAATCCTCAATATGTGTGGTTATATGTGTGAAAAGAGCCCAGTGTTTTGATGATACATTTTACTAGGAAAAAATAAATGTTGAAAAAACACGCAAAAGTGTTGTATGGTCCCCTTAAAGAAAAATTCATTTTTGAAAAATTACATTAAAAAATCTAAGAAACTATTAAAATATTTAAATTTAGATTTGAAAATTTTGCCTTCCGTTTTGCAAATTAGATGTTTAAGAAACAATTTTATCTACACAAATAAAAATAATGCTTCTCTTTCCCTATAATTTCAAAATAATCGGAAAACCGTTTAACTCGTTACTTCAAAAAAAAACCCGAAAAAACGGTTAACCGGATATTTTAAAATAACCGAATAAACGTATATATAATTGAAGAATGTCAAAATAATCTTTTTACAAAAATTCTTTTGTTTACAATTATTGTAAACAAAAGAATTTGAAAATTCACAAAGAACTTTTTCAAATATTATTTTTATAAAATTGACTTGAAGAAGAATTTTAGTTGAAAATTCTAGAAATGAATAATCGTAATGATGAAAATAATTTTTGAAGAAGTTCCAGTAACAAAGTAGCAAGTTTCATCTTATGTTATCTTTTATTTTTATGTTATTGAATTTCAAAATTTTAAATATCTTAATTTCTATAAAAAAATAATGATTAAATATTTATTTAAAAATCGCAAAATTGTTTATTTTATAAACTATTAAGCATTGATTGAATGTTAACCAATTCTCGTTTATAATATTTTAGGAAACTTGAAGTAATATTGTAAAATTTTTTGACATTTTAAGATGTGAATTTAGACACATGACAACGAAAATAGATTTAGTGTAACGTGAGCCGCTGCCCGATATAGTGCTTTCTTAGTAGATGCTATTTTTGTCTTGAGAAGTTGCTTTAAAGATTTGTTGTACAGACAATCCATGTTTTCATCTTTTATAAAAATTTAATTCTTTCCAACGATAAATATATTTTCATAAACATATTTAAAAAATTTTTAAATTGCAACAACATTCTTAGGTATAAAACAAAGACTTTATTTTTAAACTTAAATATGATTCAATTTTTTTCACTTTTTTATTAATGTTTATCGTACAAAAGTATAATTGATTATTGTTCGTAAATTAATTATTTATTAAAATTTTAAAGAATGGTGAAACTAATTTCTCAACAAATTTTTCACTATTATTATTTTGACAATCTGCGTTTGTGGTTTAATTTATTTAATTGAAATATATCTCAACTATAAAACAGGGTAATAGAATAATCTACTTACAAATTTTTACAATTTATTATTAAGATTGTTGAAGATTTCAAATGAAATTTTATGTTTCTGATAATATGAATTATTTTTATTTTTCATATGTAATAAAGAAAAAGAGTGTCCGGATTCACTTAAAATCGTCATGTTTTTTTTGCAGGACTGTATATCTGCATAAAGCCAGGCAGTTACGTTTCCAAATTACCCGTGAAAGTGTCTAATTTTCCGTGCTCGGTAAGGAAAGCTTGTTTTCTTCACAACATACGGAAGAAGTGTTGTTTACTTCTATCCTTGAGATTCGACACGTTAAAATTAGACTTGGACTCTTTCTTCAAACGCATCAGATTAGGTAAACTCTTCGTTAGTTTCGTTTCTTTCGACGTAGAGAGTGAAACAACTCGCTCTTTATTTCAGTGGAAACTATTTTCGTTCGTCGAAAGTGAGCGTGTTAAAGGGCAAGGCTAGTACGTGGAAGCTTTTAGTTGAGAGTAGTGCCAGTTGGCTTATAGCTGTTGTACGCGCAAGGCATGAGCGTGAATGAAATACGATTTTTCTCATGTTTCGTGAATGATTTGTAGTAAACTTTTCATAATCGCAAACTTTTAATTGATAAATCAAACAGTGCTAACAATGGAGTGTGATAATTCAGACAGTGTTATACCGGAGGGTGTGAAAAAATGCGCCTCTATTCTCAAGATGGTGGAAAGCGATTCAGAAAAATTTGCTGCCCTTTTTATGGTGACCAAGTTAATACCAGGAAAAGATTGTTCTCCGTCATCAAAGAAAATGCTTTTCGAGGCTATTGGTCCAAAATTTCTTCGGAAGTTATTTTTAAGTAATGACGTTCCTGTAGATTGTCCTCCTCAAGTTTATAAATCTGTCGCATTGTCAATTCTTTCTGCGTTTTGTAATGAACCTGAACTAGCAGGACATCCTGATATGATTGGGCATATACCCGCGCTTTTAGAAATTGTATCCCAAGCTGATGAAGATGCCCCAGATGATACTTTAATTATAGTAAGTGAAGCCTACACCTGCTTGCAGTGTATCGCTCGTCAACCTGATGGACAGAAAGCCCTCCTGGAGCAGAAAGCAGTAAAGAAAATGTGTGACATTTTCTCGGAGAAAAGCTTTAAAACCGATGAAGCTTTAAATATCCTCGTTATTCTTGCCAACCGATTTGGATCACAAGCTTGGGATACGATAAATACTTCTTCATTGCATTCAATAATAAACAAAATCGCTCTTGACTTCGACTCTGACAATTCGGAGAGAAAATTTGAGTTATGCTCTATACTATACGAGTTACTTGCTTCTTGTAAAAAAGTCCTAATTGATTCTACAGCTAAGGATCAATCATGGCCAGAGAGTATCAGAAAATGCCTTTCTGAAATTCTTCGTTCGAAAATCGGCAAAAATCAACGGGACCCTGCACTAAAACTTTCTTCGGTAATGCTAGAAATTTTGGGAGTTGACTGGGCGGTAGCTTACGATGAGAAAGAGAAGCTCTATATTCTTCCATTGATTCAACTGGCAGCTATTGAAGTGCGGTTACAATTAGAGGGGAAGCAATTGAAGGCGGTTGTTGCAAAGGCTGATCTTTTAGTCGCTTGTTTTACTGTTTTGGAAATTTCTCTGAATTATATCACAAATGATCAATTAGATTTGGAACAGAATGAGAAACAAGCTTTATATACTTCTTTAAAGGCAGTTTTTTCCGCTGTTCTTAGTCTATTAGTGGCAGTGTCGAAAATGAAGGAAATCAAGGATATTAAGGAGAAGGTCTTTATTTGTGCACTGATCAGGGTTTTGGCTGCTTGGATGGCCCAGGAAACATCTTCAATGCGTTCTCAGGTGTTCGCTGTTTTGCCATATGTTTTGACAGTAGCTAATGATACCTTTTACGCGCATCGGAATAGAAAACTTGCAGAAAAAGCCAAAGCAGGTGCCAAGTCTGACGAAGGAAACTCTTTTGTAGAGCCTGTTAATTATGATCCCATCAGCGATGTTGATGTTTTAAGGCTCATGCTTCCTGCTCTTTGTCATCTTGCAATAGAAGACGAAGGAAGAAAAATTCTTCTGCAGCACAAGCAGGATGAAGTTCTTTTTGAATGCTTGTCCTATCACTGGACAATTGTACACTACAAGAAACCCCCAGTGCCCAAATCAGAACGATTGAAAGCACTCAAAGAACCAGAGAAAGAACTAGAGCCTCACATTTTAGAACAAATGAAGGATTCAAGAGCAGCAATGGTGTCTATTTGCAATGTTCTCATGAATATAACAGTGCTGGAAGCCAAACTTGTTGAGGAGTCAACAACATTCGTCTCTCTGCTTAAGTTCATTTTCACAAATCTACCAGAGCTTAAGCAAATCACGGAGAATTTGGTTCTTCATGGTCATTTGGCTGTTTTAGGTCTGTTGTTATTGAAACAACAGGCGAAACGAGTTAAGAAGAATGATTTTTCAATTTGTCGTTATATACAGGCAACAATAAGATTTCTTTGGGATGCCTACATTGTGGATGAGAGCAACGATCCAACTGAACTCGTCGTAGCGATGTCTTACAAGGAGCATTGGATGGAAATAATGGAACTATGGTTTCTAGGAATGCAAACAATGGCTGGTGTATTGCAAATGATTCCGTGGCTTTCGGAATTTGCTATCGAGTCAGGATGGGCTGAAGGGATTGTCGAAACCTTGAAAAAGGTCAAGATTGGAGGTTTACAACCAAATGTTAAGTCAGCGTATGAAGATTTACTTTGTCACTTGGTTAAGGCTGATCAAAGTGTTGCCGCGGTTTTGAAAAAGTGTGGAGCATTGACAGTTTGTAGAAATCATCGAATGATGGAATTAGGGAAACATCTTTTTGGTGATTAATTATCAATGTTAGAAGTTGACAAAACAGTTTTTTCAGTTTCTTAAAAAGCAGAAGTCGAATTACAGAACTATTGTACAAAATTATTGACAAAAAACGGTTTTTTTTTCTTGAAAAACATAAAATTTGATGAAAAATAATATAATTTGCAATGCATATAAAATTCAAGTTGCTAGTGGCATAATTTAGTTATCAATGAATGAAGTTTCAAGATTATAAAACAAACGAATACAGAGGATTGGATATTGATAATATTGTTTCATAAATACCATATGTAACAAATCTATGTATCTTTTCATTACAAGTGATTATGGTTTTTTTAAAGTCTTGTTTTTTATTTTTGTAGTAACAATATTGATGGTTTTATAAAAATTAAATTTTAAATAAATAAAGCCATTGTATTTAATATAATAATTTATATAATTTCGTAACATGAATCAGAAATAAAAATTCTCTTTTTAACATTTTATTTTATAAAAGTTAACAATTTTTGTATTAAAAAGTATTATTTACCTTAGTAAAAAATTAATCAATTTTTGAATTTTAAACCCATCAATCACAAAGAATTAAGTTGACTTTAATCACTGATGATATTTATGATTAATTTCAGTTAATGCTTAGAAAGGAATAAATAATAATAATAATAAAATATTGCCGAAAATAGCAGTTTGCAACATTTACCATTATTTTTAATCTGTTTGAAAAGTGCGACCAACTACTTTTATTATCATGATTTTTGTTTCTTAATTTAACAATTTCTTTGTTAGAACAAAATATAATTTTATAAATTTGTTACAAAGAAATGATTTTTGTTTAATTTTTCTTTATAAAGTTGGATCAATAAAAGAATGACTGAATTTATTCATATTTTGTAAGATAAAAATTACAAATAGAATCTTCAAGTTAAAGAAATATTTATATTCTAATTACTTTATATATGTCAAGAATAAAATAAAATTAAACTTTTTCGATATTTTTTTTTATAAAAAATGTTTTGTATTATTTATCGTATGTATGTAAGGAATTATAACATGTATTTCGTCATTTTTACGTGAAAATTCATAGACGAAAATTAAATTAAAATATGATAATGTTTCAAGTCGTAGTAAAACTAAACAGTATATTTATAGCTCAGAAGATCACTTCTCAAAATAGCGCAGACAGGCTACAAAATTAGTTATAATTTTTCTAAATGATGATTCAAATTATTTTTAAAAACAATATGTATAAATTCGTTACTAAAGTGCCTAAAAATAATGTTTTATTTACTTAAAGAATGATGTTTTCAAACAAGAAGTTCTGAACGATTCACTATTTGTATACATTTACATGACTGTACAAGAAATTATAAATAAATTATAAATAATTTGAAGCTCAAAAATGGTGTACCTAATGATACGAAAACAATTTATTTAAAAATTTAAATTTATTTCTCCTTCAAAATATTTTTAGAACTTTAATTCTAGTTTAAAAATATTTAAGGGTTTTTTAAAGAGGGATTATTTTAAATATAGGGTAAGAAAATAACGCCCCTGGGGTTATAGTATTTTTATATTTTGTATAAAATATTAACAAATAGACAGTTTCATAAAAATCTTATTCTTCATTACTGGCGCTCATGAAGTAAATTTTTACAATTATTTCGTTTGCTCATTGTCAATTTATTTATTGTATTACAAGACTTGTTAATTAAAGAAAAACAATTGTATATAATGTATCTTATTTTTTCATGGCCTTTCTTCCAATTTTTTAGTGCTCCTATCCAATAGAAGCGAGATGATGAAAGAAATTTTTTTTTTCCTAATGCTAAATATCATGTGAGTCTGTTATTGGCACAACTGATTTTGTTGTGATTACAGTAAAACGCCCATCGATGCCACTTCGAGAGTCCAATTATCGGCTTGAGTATTTGAATGAATCAATACATTGTCTAGGTAATCATTAATATGAATTAAGTGTCCTAATTGACCTATATCCTCTGTCCTTTGAATTTTATCCAAGTTTTAAAAATGTTTATCAATACAAAAAATATTATTTAAAGCATTCAATATTTCACAGTAATAAAAATTTTCCCCTTCTGTTTCCTTATGTATTATTTCCCTTTTTGCTTAAGTATATCAGTTTCACCAATTTAGAGAAATTTGGGTAATTTGCATCGCTATTATTGGACTGCAATATTGAGTGTACTCTTGTATTTTCTCTCCCTTTAAACAAATTTCCTTTTTCCCGTTTGTTATTCATTTAAACGGCATTTTTTAAACTATTTTTCTGTCAATGTAGATCCTCCTAAGTTTTAATTCATTGCTCTTACATGACCAACAGCTTGCTGACGAATTGACACATCAGTACGGAATCCCAAAAGATCAGGCTGTCAAGATCACAACGACGTATCTTAAACAGTTCAGAAAGTGTCCTGAAAATGCAGCATTTACTTTAAACTCTTGGCGAAGCAATCTTTGGTCTAACGCATTAGGAGAACAGAACTCACACCTCACGGGAGCCATCTACGAGCGATGGCTTCAGCTCAGGTACCATTACTTGAGACTTTCCAAAGATACGATTTCAATGTTACATCTAATTAAGAAAAAATATTATCTCGGCCTTATCTCGAATGGACCGTCCAACTCACAATGGGAGAAGATTCGCAAATTACATTTAGAACAATATTTCGATACAATACTCGTATCGGGTGACTTACCGTGGGAGAAACCTGAGGCTCGAATATTTCAAGAAGCTTGTCAGTTTCTTCAAGTTCGCCCAGAGAGTTGCATTATGGTTGGAGACAAATTGGAAACAGATATATTGGGTAAATATTTTACTAGTGGATTTTTATTTTCCAGACCATTGTATTGTTAAGTTACTTAATCAGTTAATTGTCGGCTGGTAGACATTTTGTTTGAAAAATTAGACCGATAGATTTTTTCTTTAGAATATGTTTTATTGATCCTTCAATTTAAAAAAAATTAATAGAGCCGTAAGAAATTCGTTTTAAATTATTGTTTATAACATTTATTACAAATATAGTGCTTTTGACCTATAAAACGTATAATTTCAAATAAGTTTTATTAATCACTTTGAAATTGTCGATTATATATTGATAATATACATAATTATAAATAATAATTTTGCAATATATTGTTCATTTAAAAAAGTATTTGTTTATAAGAAATTGTCTTCTTTTATATTCAAACAACTATCCCAGTAAAAACAAGTTTTTCATTTCATGACCATTTAGCTTCCTCATTAGAATAAACAAATTTCTTCTTAAAAAGCAAAAAAAAGTCCATGACATAAATATAATTTTCAAACTGTTTTCAAATCATTGGTTAAGTTAAAACTTTATATAGGCCACTTGCCTAAATTTTTATTATAGAATAATTATTTCAAAGTAAGATTTCAAAAAATACCAAATTTGAATTTTATGTTAAAAATAAAAATAGCGATTAATTTTATAAATATTGATAAAATGTATACTTTTTATATGGTGTGTTTCATATGAAAACGACATATGATGTCTCAGATTCTTCTCATATTATGAGAATTAAAAGTGATTAGGGTTCTAATGAAGTATACCAAGTAACAATAAAAAAATATTTTTATTTTTCTAGATATTTGCTTTAAAAAATGTTTTCAAAATTTTTTTATTTTGAAAATAACTTTTTTCGCTTTGAGATACAAAAAATTGTTCTGAACATTTTTTGTGCTCAAAATACTTAACTTTCTGAAAAAAATTACTATAAATAAAACTTATTAATTTTAGTTTAATTTGTTTAAATAATAAAATTTGTTTTTAATATTTAAACTCTTTCTCCCTGTTTCTCAGGTCTGAAAAAAATTATTATTATTGATAATATAATAAAACTTTCTCGAAATTTTTAGCTTGGCATTATTTTTTGTTTTTGAGAAAAAAATTTCTAAAGATCACAATGCAAGCGCTCTGCCTAGCGGGGAGCTGTCCGCCATGTGTAAAGAGACACCACTTTTGGAATTATTATTGATTAAGATAAGAAATGTTAATTTGTACATTAAATATATTTTTAATTTTTAATAATTTAACAAAAAACGGTATGCTGACCCTGAAAGTTCAAGAAGACCCACGAGTGATTTTATCTTAAATTATATTGATACCAGCTTTGCTGCTAAATAAAATCAGTTCGAAGCATCCTTTCCTTTTTTATTCCTTTGATATTTGAGGATGTAAATAAATTACATTAAATTATTTCATGTTTTTAAAAGTAATGAGATGGTTGTACCTCACAGGGGAGGAAAAGGCAGTGGTCTTCTTTTTTCGAACGTTGAAAGAAATTTTTTGTTAAATTATTAAATATTAAAAATATATTGAATGTACAAATTCACATTTCTTTATTTATTCAATAATAAATACAATAGTTGCGTCCGAGGTTGCGTCTCTTTACACCTGGCGGACAAATCCCCGCTAGGCGGAGCGCTTGCATTGTAATCTTTAGAAATTTTTTTCTCAAAAACAAAAAAAAAACGCCAAGCTAAAAATTTCAGGAAAGTTTTATTATATTATTAACTAGCTGTCGTACCCGTCTTCGACTGGTTTACTACCTATACATTAAACAGTATGTCTACCAAACTGGAAAACTGGATAATAGCCGGGAATTTAATTTGACTAGGAAAAAATAATAATTAGTTACCATTACCTATTTCATTAGGAAAATATTACTATTTGAATCAGTGCCTGACTTTTGTCAACACTATTTGTCAATTTTTGGTACTGTAATTAATGTATTAAAAACTAAGGGGTCATTCACATATTACGTGATAAATATTTTAGGTATTTTAGACCCCCTCCCCCCCTGCGTGATACTTTTTCTATAGTTTAGTATAGAAAATTTGTTAAAGCGTGATACTTAGCTGACCCCCCTCCCACCCCTAAATGTATCATGTAATATGTGAATGACCCCTAATTCAAAATTTCCACCAGTTTTTGGAGTTATAGTAGAGTTTAATTTGAACTAATTGTATCGCAAGTAGACCCTACGTTATGACTGATAAAATATAAAAAAGACCTATATTGTAGGCTGATAGTAGGGCTTAAATTTTTACTCGGATCTGTTTTCATAATTATTACATAAATAAAAGTGAAAGTAAAAAGCAATTTTTTAAAATCGAATTAATATAATAAAACTTTTTTTAATTTGATAAGAAAATTCACGATTTGGCATATTCCCAGTTTTTCCCGGTCAAATTAAATTCCCGGATTATTAAATTTCCCGGAATTAAATTCCCTTTTTCAGGGTTGGTATACTGAGAAAAAAATGCTATTGAATCAATGACATATTTGTTTGTCGCAATAAACGGCATATTCAATATCGTTCGAATACGATGACAGGACAAAAAGTCCAAACCAAAAAATCTTGTCCGAAATGTCCAAGAAAGAAAGTCCAAGGATACAAAAGTCCAACAGTAGAAATCTCCAAAATAAAGAAGTCCAAAATAAACAATAAAGAAATATGGGGCAAAATTCCTCAACTGCCCAGGTCAAAAAATTAATTTTCTCGAAACTTTGCTAAAATGTTACTATTAGCAGTAGAAATGTAAATATAAATTTTATTTGAATTGATAAAATATTTTTTGAGTTATGGAGTTTCAAAATTTTGATTTTTTGAAATTTTTTTTTTCGGTTTAATATATTGATAAGTAAAATTTATCAAATTAAAAGTATAAATTAAATTAAATTAAAAGTATTTTACATGGCTTATAGGAAAAAAGGCAAGCTTTCGATTGGGATAGGTTAGAAATAAATTAAAAACACCGATTTTGAGATATATTGAAATTAATTATATATATACTGTTGGTTCAATAACATGTGCTATTGATTATTGCACTGTAGATTTAAATAAATTTTTTATAATATTATTACAGAAGTTTTAAGTGTTAACAGAAAATGCTATAATATCAAGAAATGCATTTCTTAGATATAATTAAATCTGTTATAAATTTAATAGCATGTACTAGTGATTTAATTTCTATCTTATTTTGAATCAATAGCACATGCTATCAATTTTAAAGTACATGAACAAGAATTTATAGTATGACGCTATAGTTTCAATGATCAAAACTGTTGCTTTTATAAAAAGAATGTTTTAAGAAATAAACATATCTTTGCTCTTTTATACAACTGAATCTTATTTCAAGATACACTTTTTTGAAGTTTTGCACACAACATACACAATTTAAGATATAAATTCACAACTTGACTTATACATAAATTCATAATTTATCACAATATAAACTTAACACTATTTAACATTACACATGCATACAAACAATCATAATACATTTAAATGTTGATTTAAATTTCCTTATATACAAAACTGATGAAATTATCACCGCTTGTGAGAAAAAAAATTAATTTTTCAAGTAGGCATAGCAAATATTCAGTGAAAAAAATGTTTAATAACCTAATTACCTTATTTTATAAATCTTCTTTAATCTTTATTTTTATCATTGCACGGTACTGTTAATTTTATAGCATGGCACTGTCAATTCTATAGCATCTGTTTTTGAACGTATTTGAATACATCTTTTATAATAACAAAAGCACGTGCTATTGTTTCAAAAGCATATTTCATCGTCTAAAATACACATCTATACAAACTGTAAATACTATTTAATAATTTAACAAAATTTTATTTAAAATAATGGCAACAATTATTTCAAACTAACTAATATTTTTTGAATAAAATTGTATCAACCCTACATCTCAACCATTTTACATATTTCATTAGACAACATTATGGTTCTAGTTCTAAATTGAGGAGCTGGATTGAAGAACCGGCTCTTCGCTCGGACCGCAAACGCTAATATCAGTCATTGAACTGGTTATTTGTATTACAAGAGGCCATTAAAACAAAAAGAAGAAGAAGAAGCTAATATCAGTCGGGTGGCAGTGAGCGCCTCTGGGCCACTCACTCCTACCCGACTTGTAATAGCGCGTATAATCCGAGCGAAGAGCCGGTTTCGTCGATCCAGCTCCTCAATTATGAATTATTATAATTTAACAAATATTTTCTTAATTCAATACAGAAATTATTCTCTCAACAAAATTAAATTCAATAGCATTGGTGCTATTGTAGTAGAAATGAATGCCTGGATCCATCGATGGCCCATCCCTGGAAGCCACATTTCACCCATGGGCCATCCGTGGAAGCCATCCATGGCCCATCTGAGTTTTGAAACCTTGCGCCGCACGTTTTCCCGACGATTACAAATTTAATAATTATTTATCCAAACATTACTCGACGTCATTTTTCGCCGCCCTGGTTGTTTGGTTGTTAGGAATCATAACCAAGAGCGTAAATAATACAATTATTAATATTTAAGAGGTTAAATAATATTATTTTTATTGAATTAATTATTAGAATAAAAAAGTTTGTATAATTTCTAACCTCCGTTAAAAATACTAACCCATTCATACGATAATTTGTTCACTTAAAAGGTATTATCTCCGGGAGGGTTTTAATAATAAGAATAATTTTTACCATTTTCAAATACAATATAAGGATGTCTCATTCTAACCTTTTCTTATTGTGTTCTAGGTATAAAAACAACGTCATCTACCCTACTAAAAATAAAATCACAAAACGACAGAAATTTAGTCAGAATCTCTGACGTTTTTAGGCTGCATTTGTTACGATTGCAGCCACAGAACGTCAGGCTTGAGTCATGTTTAATCAGAAAGCTTCAAAAGTAGTCAGGTTTTTTTATACAAAGTCTACACCCTTTTTTACCTGGAAAAAGGTCAACTGACCGTCATAAAATTGAAGGGAAATCTTT